CTACCAACCTTTCCCAGTGTTATCCTCAACTACAATGTAAGCAGTAGCACATTTATAAACACGATTGTAGGTTGTCTTTGCTCTAGGTAATCTGTAAAAATTTTAGGAAATAACTTTCTAATTGCTGAGACTTCAAAAAAATATTCTAAGGGTAAAGTAAAAACTCTCTAGTGTTTAAAAACTTGAAAAACTCGAAAAACAAAAAGGGACACTCTTCTGTGCAAAGGCATGAACAAGAAAAACTCCAAAAGAAATTAAGAGTAGACAATGCATATGAGTGAATGAAAGTAGTCACATGATGACTCTGCCCGACTAGCTTAGGGGTGGAAGGTATGCTCCCTTTCACCTAGAGTGTGGAACGGTAGGTGTGATGAGCTGACTCCCCTATAAAAAAAATGTGTGAATAAAGAGAATAGAAGTTGATAAATAACTAATAGTATAAACTAAGCCTGATGAATAGTTTATTGCCTTGACAACCTAGAGGTGCTTACTTTAAGTTTTCTAATTACCTCTATGCATAGACTGGTTACAATCACGCACACACCATAGCAAATGATCCTGACTATGGAAGGGACTTGATTGATATGACTGTCAAACATGTTGAGGCCAAATATTTTTGCTGAGGGCTGAAATCTCAAACCTGATTATGTTCTTGATACTACATTGCCATGACAATTTTGATTTTCTTCTAGCTATTATCCATTGCTTGAGGACAAGCAATAGCTTAAGTTTGGGGGTGTGATAACTCTGTAAAAAGACTCAATTTCTAGTCTTTTCACTTAAGTTATTGCTCATCTAAACAAAGTATGTAGTGCATTTTTAGTTGCATTTAGTTGCATATATGTTATATTAGCCTGTGGTGGATAAGTTTTTTCTTAGGCAAGATTTATTTGGTTTGACTGATGCTGCTGGGGAGAAAGGGTTGTTTTAGTTATGTTTGTGCAGGAATACTATAGAGGAAGAACATTTCAGTCGTGATAATGCAAAGTTACAAAGGTCAACAGAACAGAAGAGAACATGAAGAGCAGAATTATCTCGCCGAGGAAACATTTATCTGAAGAAGTCTGAAGCAGGTGTGGCAAAACCGCCTATGTCACATGCCAGCTGGAAGACCTACTTCACGTGCAAGCAAGCCTTGATTGTACTGACAGCCGCTAGCTGCCTTTCCTTTTTAATCTTGGGAAATTAATAACGGCAAATTAAGGAAACTCCAAAAGCATGCAAAGCCCTAGGAGATTTTTCCTTATAAATATTCAGTCGTAGTCACAAAAAGAAAGGAGGCAAGGAAGAAGAAGAGAAAAGCGTTTTACCTAAGGCATGAGCAAGCAACTGCAGTGCTTTCTCACCATCTACCCACCAATATTCCTTGGTGTCCTCCATAGCCAGACGATAGCAGAGCAGTGATAAGGCCTCGAGAGAGGGTGATCACCAAGGCAGGCATGGTGCTGATCAGGATTATCGCGATAGATCCCCTGGTTTTGGGAGTCGTTCTTCCTTTTTCTTAATTCTTATTTTATTTGGGGTTATATTAAATGGTTAAATCTTGGATGATCTTTGATAACACCATGAATGCTTTACTTAGTGTTAAACTTTGTTTTGCCTAAATAATATTTTTATGTTTATGAATGATGAATTATGTTTGCTTATGTCTATTTTGCTCATAGTTTAAATATTTTGCCTTAACACTATAAGAGCATCGAGAGATCGCCTGGGGTTTCGGTAAAACATGTCTTGGCATTGTGAGAGCATCGAGAGATAGCCTTTTATCTAGATAGTGATTCTTAGATTCGAGATAATTAAGATAGATCAACGTGAACAAAGGAATGAATCCGGGATGGTGAAGTTCTAACTTGTCTACCTTAGAGATAAGGAGTGAGTTTCAAGCGACTAAAAGGGATAATTGCTAGAGTAGGTTAAGACAACGTCTATAGTTAACGCCGAGAGGTATTACCATAGCAACCATCCAAGAATACCTAGTAATCCTGTTGGGCAGCTTAGTGAGGTATAATAATTCATTCAGAACTTAGAATAATTGTTGTCAAGACAGTAGTTTAGCATCAGTGCTCTGTGACACGTCTTAATATAAGAGGTTGTTTGCATTATATTTAAACCAATACTTGTTTAGTTTTGTTTTATATGTTTGCATATTTCCTTTGTCTCGACTACATTATTCTGAAATCATTGAATCATTCTTCTTAGTTTATTCGTATTAGTTCTTAGTTCGAATACTTAGTAGGATTTAGTTTGTGACATTAGTTCTAGTTGTTGTGAAAATATATTTCTAATCCAATCCCAATGGAGATGATACTCACTCACTACTGTATTACTTGCACATATTTGCTTGCCTTAGCATATATATTTACAAGCGATCATCTTCCACACAACATGGACACTTTCATTACCCGAAACCAAATGAGAATCCTTTGGAGAATGAAGAAGGTAATCAGAGTTTTTCCACTGAATTAAATGTTTTAATTGATGATAATGACTTGTCAATTACTCAAAAGAAAGGTGTAAGAAAATGCAAAAATTATCCAATTGAGAGATTTGTTGCATATGGAAAGTTGACGCCTTGTTTTAATAACTTTACAACAAGTGTAGATAGCATTATTGTTCCAGATACGGTGGAAGAAGCATTAAAAGATCCCAAGTAAAAAGAGGCAGTAGAAGAGGAATTAAAAGCACTAGAAAACAATAATACTTGGATTATAGTTGATCTTCCGAAAGATAAAAAACAGTCAGCTGCAAATGGGTATTCACGGTAAAATACAAAGCTGATGGTAACATTGAAAGATATAAGGTGAGATTAGTGGCGAAAGGATTTACTCAATCTATTGGAGTTGATTTTCATGAAACGTTTGCTCCGGTAGCAAAACTAAACACTATGAAAGCGTTATTGTCATTAGCAGTTAATGAGAATTGGGTGCTTCATCAGTTAGACATCAAAAATGTATTTCTAAATAGAAACTTGGATGAGGAAGTATATATGTGAATTCCACCGGGTGTGAAGAGTAATACATGAAAAGCATGTAGATTACTAAAGTCCTTGTATGGACTTAAGCAATCTCCAAGAGTTTGGTTTGACAGATTTACAAAGGTGATTATTCAGGATGGTTACAAGCAATGTCAGTCTGATCACACTTTATTTGTCAAAACAGCTTCAAACAACAAAAAGAAAATTTTGATTGTCTACTTGGGAACTTTACGGTATTTTTTAGGCATGGAGGTTGCAAGGTCAAAAGAAGGAATAGTGATCAATCAAAGGAAATATATTCTTGATCTACTATCAGAAACTGGAATGAGGGGATGTAAGCCAGCACAAACATCCATGGAAGCAAATCTTAAGTTAAGGAGAGAAGAATTGGGAAGTGTTGTGAACAAAGAACAGAATCAAAGGCTAGTAGGTAAACTAATTTATTTATTACTTACTAGACCTGATATTGCGTTCCATGTCAGTATAGTGAGTCAATAAATGAATGATCCAAGAGAATAACATTTAGAGAATGTGAATAGAATTCTAAGATACTTGAAAATGAAACCAGGACATGGGTTAATTTTTAGAAAGAGTGATGATAGTACAGTAAGAATTTTTTCGGATTCAAGATGGGCAGGTGAATTAACGGATAGAAGATCTACAACTAGTTATTGTTCATTTGTTTGGGGAAATATGGTTACTTGGAGAAGTAAAAAACAGGCGGTGGTGCCTCGAAGTAGTGCAGAAATGGAGTTTAGAGCAATGGCACTTGGAATTTGCGAAGGAATTTGGCTTCAAAGAATGTTAACTGAGTTAGGGTTATGTGCCAACAAATAGTTTGAACTTTAAAGTGACAGTAAATCTGCAATAAGTATTGCAAAGAATCCAGTTCATCATGACTGAATGAAGCATGTGGAGATTGATAGACATTTCATCTCTGAAAAGGTGAATGGTGGAACGGTGAAACTCAATTATGTTTCAACGAAGACTCAGTTAGCATATATTCTCACCAAAGCACTTCCAAGAATTACCTTTGTTGAGATTATATCCAAGTTAGGTCTTTTCAACATTTACTCCCCAACTTGAGGGGGAGTTTAGGTTATGTGGTAGATAAGGATAATTAGTTAGTATTTTAATATAACACTAACTCTTAGAAATTTAGATAGATAAGGATAAATACTAAGTAGCTTAGTTTAAATTAAATGCTTGTTCTCACCTAATGTATTTATTTATTAAACTTGTAACATGTTTTAGATGAATATACGATAGTGAAGTTTTTCACTTTTCCCTACCTTTGTCATTTAATTTATTTTGTCACTTAATTCCTTTTACTTCACTTTACATTAGCCCTATTTTCAACCGACAGGATTCCAGGAAGCTGCAAGCTCAAAACCCCAATTACAAGCTTTGATCCAGGCAATAGTAAAATATTTCACAGCAAATGCAGTTGAGGCAGCAATTGTAACAACAGGGCATACAGCTAGTAGCTGGAATGAAGCGTCCCTTTGATGGTGGTGTATGCGCTCGCCGGCTAATGCAATACCTCTATCACCAACAGAAAAGGCCACCTGTGAGTTTATGTTTCTTTTTCTCTACATTTTGTGGTAAAATATCTTGAATTTCAATTGGTTTCATTTAACGGTTTCACTTCTTTTGAAGATTGCATTTTTTATGGAAATATGTATACTTGGTTAACTTGTTACAGTCATGAACTTATCCTTCCCCTCTTTTTTGTGTGTAGAAATCTACTATGTACTTCAATGAATGCTCAATTATATTTTTGTTACCAACTTGACATCAACTCATTTTCAACTTGGTAATTTGATGAGAATCTTGTTGTCTCTTTGATTTTGTAGGATAATACTTTTGCATACTGGAGGAAATTTGTTACAGAGTATTATTCTCCTCGTGCAAAGAAAAGATGTTGTTTGTCATTGTATGAAAATGTTGTGAGTCATGCACTTGGTTTTTTCCCTCAAGCAGCTATGGTTGGTATTTATGCTTCTTTTTTCCTCTAGTTTGTAACATATGAAATTATCTTTTTATCATGAAGTGTAGGCCTTTTTATCAAATTGTTTGCACTGGTTTGGTATCTTGCATGCATTCTTCTACACGAATAATACTATCCATCATTTTGGTTCTGGATTTTTAGCTCAGCCATATACCAGTAGAATTCTGATTTTCTTTATGTAAATTTCAAGATGCTTGGCATTGTGATATTTATAGGTCTAAATCTGGAATGGGGTTTGGTAAGAGATTCTGAGCCTTTACTTTGTTTTAGAGAATATATTTCTTAGTTGATTTTGGTAGGAATTACATTTTAGAAGTACGATAAGAGAAAAATATTGTCATTTTATGTTTGGTATATCTGTCGGAAATTCATTTCTTTCTTTTCATTGATTTTATTTTTCTATCTCAATCACACTTCTGGGATAATAGTTCACTTCTCATATTGACATATTGGATGGTAGAGATAAGTAAAATTTCTTGAATTTTTAGGGTTATGGGTTTCCCAATATTATTTTGCTAGCTTAAAGCTTTCCTTAAATAAGGTCTATCATTTTTTGTTTTCTCAATTAGACAAGATATTATATACCATGCTTGTGGCTTCAATCTAACTTTTACACTTCATAAGTCATTCATAGTCACCCTTGCTTCTTGGCATCTGATCACATGATTTTAACCAAGTAAATGCGCTCATGTTTACAGAAGCAACTTTTGAAGTACTCCCCAGATTTAATGAAATCAAATTTGGTAGTGGAGTGGTTGATGAGCTTTTGTTTTTGGACTTGCCTTATGAGTGTAGATTCTCTTCTGGAATAATGATGCTGGAGTATGGAAAAGTAGTCCAAGAGAGTGTTTATGAGCAACTTCGTGTTGTTCGTGAGGGGCAGTTCCGCATCATATTTGTAGACACTCATTTTTTTCGGATCTTAAAAATATTATTTTTATTATTATTATTATTATTATTATTATTATTTAGTATTTCTAATTACAATTAATTTACATTACAGGCCCTCAACCCAAGGCCTAACTAAGGCCAACCAACAGACCACAAAAGAGACCCCAAATTACAAGCAAGAAGACTCAACTCGAATCCACTCAGCAACCAACCCGCCCAGCATCCGACCCGGATCCAGACCCGACCCAAGATCCGACCCGGCCCCTAGGGTATCTGAAAACTAACCCTAGGGGTATGATGCTGCTGTTGCTGCCTGTCATTGTTTCTGCTGCCGTCGAACTGTTCCCGCCTGCACTAATCCATCATACAGTGACCGAATCAATCAGAAACCATCAATAACCCAAAAAAAAAGAAAAAATCACAAGTCAAGGGGAAAGCTATCAGAAGCCATTACCATAAAAAAAGAGAAAATACAAAGAGAAATATTCGGGGTTAGAGATGAAAAAAAACAAAAAAACAACAAATAGATTTGAACCAAAAAAAGAAGAAAAAAATATTACCTTTTGGTCTTCGACGACGGTAGTTCCGGTGTCGAACGACGAATCCGAACGATGATAAGGTGTGTGGCAGTGAGCAAAACAACATATCTTAGTGGTGGCCCCATCGGACAGTGGGTTTAGCGGTGACGTAAGGTAAACCTTTCGATTTCCTTTTTTAGATCTAGGCGTGTGGGAGCATTTTTAGGCCGAAAAAGGTTCATATTTACGGAGTTGATAGTGAAAGGAACCTTTTGGGATCATTTGATCCCTCTGGCCACCGTAAGCCGTCGTGGCTATTACCGATGAACGACGGCTTCCTTTACCCAACGAGAGGAAAGTTGAGAGCGTTTCGATCTCTCTTTCACTTTCTCTATTTTCAGAAACGGGGCAAATAAGGGAGATGAGAGAACAGACCTCGGTTTTGGCCTTAAATACCCTGTATAGAACGACATCATTCTAAAAGGGGCTTTTCCTTGTTTTCTGGTTAGGGGATAATAACACCCTAGGTCCCTCACTATTGTAACCTATTTATTTCGGCCATGAAATGAAATGGGTTATTATTATGTTTGATCCTTTTTATTTTGCATGCGTTTTATTTTAGCCATTGTATTGTTATAATATTATTTATTTTGTTTTATTTATATGTTCATTCCTCATTAGAGATTATTACTTCTGATTTGGCCATATTATTTTACGTGTGTTTATTTTGGTCACTGTAAATTATGTATTTTTAATTATTTCGATATTTATCATGTAATTTTGGATATTTATATTTTTGACCTAAATGTATGGGTTTATTACATTTTCAATGTTTGTAATGTGTTGTGTTTATAGTATGTGTTGTATTATTTATTTTATTTGTTTTTTAGGCATTATCTTTCTGGTTTTAATATTTAATCCCTTTTGTTTGTTATCTTATTTTCAGTGTTTCTAATATGTTGTGTTTTTATTATAAACATTTTATTTCACATGATTCCAATCGCATTTTATCCCTATTGTATTACCTTAATTATTAATATTATTCAAATTATTTTCAAGAACGTCATTTGTAGAACAGGCATGGAAAGCACTGCTTGGTCGAAGTAGTGTAATCCAATAAGACGTTCGAACAAAATGTAAACTTGAAATAAATTGATTTTACTTTATTAATTAATTCATTTTTATTATTCTATTTTAATACAATGCTTGTCTCGCTAAATATCAACTTATTCTATCTTATACAAATGTTGATGAGCAATTTATATTCGATTTGTGTTTTTTAATCAAGGAGGGAATATTCTTTTAAACAAAGACATAGATGAATTAGCTTTTCCGATGGAGGATTGCTAATCCCGATATTTCTTTTCAAATTAAAGAATTTTCCATAATAAATTAATCAAATTTAAATATATGGATCATAATTTTACTTTACATTCGATTTATAAGTTCCACCACCATTACGATAACATGTAAGCGATCCAGTACCAATTTTTGGGCGTTGTGGGAATACTAATCCTTCCCTCACGTGTAACCGACTTCCGGACTCGTTAAGTCAAGTTTTTGGTAAACGCAAATCAATTTTTGTCTTAAAAATGATTTTTCCTTAAAATTGTTTTAAAATACGTTTTTAGATATTCGACCTACCTAGCATAAAATTCGATGGTGACTCATTTTCAATTTAATTCATAAATCCCCAATTTTTCAAATAAAAGTCATAATTGTTATTTTTTAAATAATACATAATTGTTTTCTAAAAGATGGTTATGACAGTTGTGCGACTCCACTGACCTTTTTTTTAGAGAGTTAGGCTATAAGTCACTTACACATTGTCGTTGAGGTGGAAATTATGAGTTCTAGTCTTTAGTTAACTTATGATCCATTTATTAAAGTTTTTAATTTCTCCATTTTTAATTGTCATACTAACATTTTAATTTTTACTTTCAGCTTTGTCCGAGTTTGTGTTGAGAGTTTTTATTTGTTCATCTTTTGAGTCAAAGGTTTGTATGTTCCTCCTCACACACATCACGTGCATTTGCATGACATAAGCTCTAGACCTGAGCTTCGATCCAAATAAGTTGGGGTGCATGCTTTACTCTCGTAAGAATTTATTCTTCGTATGAGTTTTAGCAAATACCCACAAGATACATACCTTATACCTTCGTAGGGCTTTATTCCTTATATAGGTATAAGGCAGTGAATCCCCTCGAATTGAACTCGTTTTGTTCAAAACATATAATGGGTGAGGATCGAGGGATTGGCAGCCCAAAGGGGCACCGACATCAAGGACAATTCGAGTATCATTTTCCTGTTAGAGCCGAAACCATGCATATAGTGAACCGTAGAATGGTTACCCTAGGTATAGCTATATCGAACCTTTTCCCGTCAGTAAGTACCCAAAATAAGTGTACACAAAGGAGGAGAATTTCTAAACCCTTACATTTTTCTTTAAGATTCGTAGAATATATTTATTCTTTTTGAATAAAAGCATGTGAATTAGATACCATGCGATTAGGATTATTTTCTTGAAATATATCATTGTGGGTAGAAAACATGTATGGGTAGGATTACTATCTAATAAAAGTATGCTCCGGTAGATATCATGATTGGGTAGGTGTTATGTTTACCTGTAGATAACATTTTTTAACTCTATTGATTATCTTGCTTGTACTAACTCGTTTCTCTCTTTTTTTGTGTTACTAACTCGTTTTTCTCTTTTGTTTGTGTTATTTTTCATCATTCTTTGCATTACATTTCATTGACATAACATAATGTGAAAGTGTTGATCCGCAAGGAAATATTCATGAGAAAATCTTCACAAGAATAGATAATAGTTTTCAATCAAGCAGTTACGTACACAGACATGCACCGAAGGCTAAAAGAAGTTCAGAATACAAGAATGAGACTTGCTCGAAGATCGTGCAGCATTCAAGACTAAAATGATGATCCAAGGAGTAATTCAACAGTGGAGTCTTATCTACAATCATGTCATCACTCACTGACTTCAGTACCGTTGGGGTATTAATAGAGTTAGGTTACAGAATGCTTGAGGGGCATCATTTTCAAGGAAGAAGATCTGAGACAAAGTAGTGATCCACTCCAGACTCAATATCTAAATGAAAGTATGTCTATAAAATGGATTGTCTTGTAATGTGAAGCCTTTTATTTCTGATGAAAATTGTTCTATGATATTCACCGTTGGGATCAATATTTTTTCATTTGTATTTGCATCATTGTATTCTGCATGACATTCATTTAAGCATTTTTACATGCATTAATTATATCTTGTGGGGGACTTTGAGGAAGCGCTTCTAACTGTGAAACTGCATTCACACAGTACTGAGAATGAAAGCTAAATTTGAGAAACTGAAGAAAGAGTTGGAAGAGAATTTGCGAAGGATGCAAAAAGAGTGGGAAGCTAAAATAGAGAAGAAGTAAAAGGCCACTGTGGATCGTATCTTGCAAAACCAAAAAGACCTAGTTGACCAAAAGGTAGCAAAATTGGCTGAGCTCAACCAAGAAAGAGGCAAAGAGAATATTTCCTCAACCAGAAGAACCTCCGAACATGTGATGGCCCATGCTAATCAACCGATACTCATTTCACCCCACAAGCTTCCAAGC